TTTCTTTGTTTGTACGATTCGTTGAGATCAGTATCCCTTTGTGCGTCTAGGAGCTTGGACTTTCTTGTATAAATAACACAGTTCATTTCGAATGGGAGAAATATTTATGTTTATTTGTTTAATCGCTTTCCTGCGTAACTCAAAAGCAGCTGACCTATATGACCTTTAACCTCTGTAGCTTCAGGGTAAAATAGTATTCCTTTAATATCTACAACCAATTCTTCCTGATTCTGTTCTGTTGCACTTGCAGCTCTAACAAGAATATTTTTATTACTCTTCTGTGTCTTTATGTCACCTGTATCCTTTAACTCACGAAAAGAAGAGCTAAATTATGAAAAATTTGTGCACAGATACACACAAAAAAACTGTTTCGACTTCATTTCAATGGAACTCTCCTAATACGTTGTAATACGTTCCGGTCTGTAATCTGGTTACAGCGATCGTTTGTGACGGACCGATGCCCTCGGTCACTGCCAAGGTGCGCGTGCACACGTCATTATGCCACTTGAACAATATATGATGTACTGGCCAACACATAGTAAAGTGTTAGAACGCGCTATTCACGCCGTTATTTCTTTAAACTTAAGATCGCTAGTATCGTTAAGACCTAGCCCCACGATTGTTCGTACTGTGACATACCCGGACAGACTTCTTTAACAAGTGAGTAATTTCTAAAAAAGAAATAATATATAATTATAGATTTAAAAACGAACGTACCCCGTGTACGTTTGTTTGACTTTAATCTACTTTAAATTCTTACGTGTTATACAAGCGCTCCGCGTAGGTACAATACAAGCATCAATTTAAACACGCTTCGATGAATTCTGTATTGCGGAAATTATCGTAACTTATGCAAACTATAACAATTATAATCGCCCGTATTTCTATCTGCCGGATTTGAGGAATACTTGTATAGGATTAGAAGACAAACAGTTCTTTTTTAGTTCGGTTGTTGTTTTGTTAAGTATTGATGATTGTTGTACAATTTTATATCATTGCAACAGCAAAATCGCAGTTCAATAAAAGACCATTAAAGGCTATTCTATAACGCCGCAGCGTTATAATATAAGCAAATAATTAATCATCTTCATTCAATAATAAATTCAAAGTTGATATTATTTTTAATGTAGTCTTCCTCTTGCTTCTTTTGACGTCTCATCGTTGCTCATAGCTGTGACTACTGCCCTGGATTCAGTCATTTTGATGAAGCCAAGTCATGACACACAGGCTTGTGTTATGTACGATATAGGGATTGATAGGAAAATATAAATTTAAAATACTCATGAGATGGGATTCTTTGTTACTATTCAAATTAGTAAATACAAATACAGAGTATATTTAAATTTCTTCACCTTATTTACTTTTGTTCGTAATTCCCTTGCCCAATTCGCAAGTGGTTTCGAAATCAAATGTTTGGTTCAGATAACCGTTTCTTAGATAACACAGATCTAAACGATGAGAATAAGGAGGGCCATTTATTTATGACATGTAATGAAAGTTAAATAACGTGTTTTTCAAACGTATTCTTCGCTCAGAGGTGGATTGAAATGAGTCAGAGATATTAAATAAAGGGGAAAAATAGTCTTACTATCGGTACTAGTTGCGTAGGGAAAATATGGAACTAATATTATGTATTCAAACTAATATTCTTTACCCGCAAGCAAGAAATTATATAAATATAATTTTACAAGTATTGAACGTGGTTTTGTTTATCTTCTTCGCGAATATTTGTATTCTTGAACCGTTCATCCGATTTCGATGAAAAGCTAGTTAGTTATTCTACTAACGCCCGCGAATATTTTCGGGTCAAATATAGTTATAAACTTGTAATTTGTATAAGTGAACATTAGGCAATGTTATTTCGAGTGCAATCTGTCTCATGACCGTCTTCGTCGTCAGTCTTTATTTGTCCACCGCTGGACATAGGTATCTCCACTCTATCTAGCGAAGATCTATAAAATCTGTCTATCCATATGTTGCCAACAGTCTTACGCAAGTCGTCGCTCCACCTGGCCTATATATCTGACCATAAATAAATAAAAAGAAATTAATTCTATCGTTGAACGAAGACTACGGAATTAGAATAATGCGTCGTTATACATATTTATAAATTTAACAATACGCGTACTATTGCAGGCATCGTATGAAATTGATGCGAGGCACGTACCGCGAATTGAAGCACATAAGACTTCTATTTGCATATAAACAAAATAGACGGTCTCCGTCAACTTGCGCAATGAGGACGATACAGTTTCGGGGTTGACGACCCGATTACTTAGTCTGATTACTTCAACTGTATCCTCGATAATATCTAGATCAATACCCATATTATTCGAGCAATATTATTAAAATTAATGAAAATTTTATAACATATTAAATGAAACTACTTTACGGATTTCATCGCGTTTTTTATTTTGATTTAAATTCCCGACGTTTCGAACCCTTTAACAGCGTTCATGGTCACGGGACAGACTAAGTTGTTATACGTTTTGATGTCATAGTTAACCCCGGCTACCGTCAATTATTTTGTTTATTTTTATTCCGATCCACGCAGAAGATCCAGGTTCGAAACGTCGGGAATTTAAATAAAATAAAAAACGCGATAAAATCGGTAAAGTAGTTTCATTTAATATGTATAATTTTGGCGTAAAATCAAGAAAACAATGTTATAACAGTTTAACTTAACGTTATTATCGTCCCAGCTGTTGACTAACGACCGGTTACACTATTCTATCTGTAGATTTGGTTCCTTGCGATATATGTATTTGACATTGGCTCCATAATTCTTACGTCAAAATTCTACCTAGAGTAACCAAATCTACCGTAGGATAGAAAATTATAAACGCCCGTAAAACAAAAACGCCCCGCCAGTATTGTCATCAGCCACTTGTATGTTTTCGCTCAGCACGCGAGAGTGCTTATATAAATTGGCTTTAAACAATGAATTACCATATAAATGAGAATACATCGCAGCAAGAGTTATGTGGTTTGCTTTCGAATAAGATTTTGTATGAATTAAAGTGAATCCTTATGTTTTTTATTGAGCTAGAACGGCGTCAACAGCATAAGAGATTAATTAAAAGCATTTGTGAAACAATATTATTGTTCTGCAAACACATGATGTTTGTATGGGGCGACAGGGTAAGCAAAACTTTTTTGCTTGTATGCAGTGCATGTGCCAGAACTATATGTATTAATACTATACTTATATGTGACGAGTCAAGTAGATACTACTTGCGGAAGCATATAGCGTTTTCATGTTTATATATTTGCTGTCATGACAACATTTAGTGACAACTTATATCTATATTAAATGTCACATCTCCTTTTTATTCATATCCATGCCCGTTTCGTTCACGGAAATAAATCGTTTTTAAACTGGCCGGTTAAAACTAAAGGTTTCCCGCCTTAAAAACACTTCCCCAATGCCGTCTACTTTCTCGCAACTCAATACGTGCACACGAGAATACCACACCGGATCTTTAAAAACCGGGATTCAAAGTACGTTAGATATGGCAACATTAGAACAATTACAGAAATAATTATATAACTATGTAACTCATACTTTTTATGGTTCTTAAAAAAAAAAAAAACGAGCAGGAGGCTAACCTGATGGACAGTGAGCACCGTCGCCCATGGCCTTTTACAACACTTTTTAATTGTACCCCGGCTACCTCACTCGCTAGACGAAACGCACAAGTATAACACTTCCAGTTCAAGCTGGCTTGCCACCTTCTTACATAAAAAATTCATTCGATTACAATACTAAGTTAAATTAAAATTAAACTAAGTAAAATTATTTAATTAGGTAACTAATAGTTGTAAAATCTTAGTGTAATATCGTATACAGCATTGATAATTGTATTTGAAAAATATTAAAAAATAAATATATAAAAACATATAGAGTAAAAGTAACAGCCTATACATGTCCCACTGCTGGTCAAAGGCCTCCTCTATACACAGGTATCAGGGCATAGTCCACCACGCGGCCCCACTGCGGATTGGCGGACTTCACATATCTTCGAAATATTTAATTTTTTTGTTATTATTTCGAAAATATGCAGATTTCCTCACGATGTTTTCCTTCACCGCAGAGCTCGTGATAAGTCAGCACTTAAAGTTAAAAACTTCATTGGTGCCGGCACCGGGGATTGAACTCAGGTTGCTCGAGTATATTGAATTAAAAGCGAGCGCCCGGACACTGAGCTATCACGGCTCTAGAGTTACTGTGCGAACAGCAAATCTTGTACCAAAAATTTGTCTGAGGCTTCGTGAGAACATGGTCACCCTAAGTGAGCGGTGCACAAACTGGACATGTTCAAATGTCGCCACTCGTGCGTTTTCATCCGCATTCGCGGCCGTCCATTTTGCCGAAGCTGTCTGTCCGTTTTAAATGTCTTTAGTCCGTAAATATCCAGATAAGGGCAACCGCTATTACGGCGCTACGCTCACATATTAATAATCGTCGCGACTGAGGTTTGTCAGGCTCGCTGTTATCGTTCTTGCGTGTTTTCATCATAATTAATTAATGGCCCATTAACTTCACAGTTGCATAATGTTTATTCGTCTCGCGAATTATATCGAGCCGTGTATTTATAGCGAAATGATCGCACGGATTATGTCCCAGTACCAGTCTAGTATTTCTAGTTTGTTAAAATTAATAAAGATAATTAATAAATAAAATTTATTAAACTTTTAGAACATAAGTTATGAAATTCGACATTTTCTAAAACTTAAAAAAAAAGGACCGAAAGATTTTCGCCCCGTTTCGAGGTCCTGGGTCCACCAGTTTACGTCAATATACCGACGAAAAGGTCAACGTATTATCTACTTTTGTTATTATAGCTTTTTGTCCATTTTTCTACAAATTTTAATGAACAGCGCTATAAAAAATATCCTTTTAAAATCGACCTTTTCTGTTCGACTTCACAGTTCTAATTCCAATGTACAGGAACGCAATCGCCTCAGCCGATATATTAAAACTTCCTTCTCCGTTCCAGCTTCTCCCAGAAGGTGGACGAGGAGGAGTCCGGCGGCGGCGTGACCCTGCACCCTCCCGATGGTTTCTATTCGCACCAGCACTCGATACACAGCGGCCACCATGGCCACAACGCGGAACCCGACCGCGGCTACATGGACGGCAACCGCTACGTCACGGCCGTGCACCGACCCCTGCCGGGTGAGCGATTTCTTTTAATGTGAGAAGGTGGCAAAGAATCGTGATAGCTTAGTGTCCGGGCGCTCACCTTTAATTCAATATCGGTTTCGGTTTAAAGAATTTATTTCCCAAAAGAACATTACATAGTTCACTTAGATGAGAAACTTAACTAAATTATTTACAATAAAAGAAAGAGAGAAAAGTTATATATATATATAATATACTCGAGCTATCTGAGTTCGATCCCCGGTGGCAGCACCAAGTAATTGGTAATTTTAAGTGCTGAATTATCACGTGCTCAGCGTTGAAGAAAAGCATCGTGGGGAATACTGCATATTTACGAAAAATTAATAAAAAATATATATTTCGAAGATATGTGAAGTCCGCCAATCCGCAGTGGGGCTGCGTGGTGGACTATGCCCTGATATCCTCTGTACAGAGGAGGCCTTTGCCCAGCAGTGGGACATGTACAGGCTGATACTTTACGTGGTAACCGAGCTGGCGATTCACCTGATGACTTCTAACCGCCGCCCATTGACGTTTGTAACATCCGTGGGGTTGCAGATGTGTATTCTTCATCACCAGACGAAACGCAGAAGTATAATACCTACTTCCACTTCACGCCGTTCTTCTGTGATGTTGGATGGCCCCATCCATTTGGGGTAGACGCCGGTTAAGACTTTTGCGTGGTAGTCTACGTAATAATTAATGTCCATCAAAAATTTTGCGCCTTTCATAAAAGTGTTGACCTCAAAACAACGAAATTATAACATATTTAATATCTGCCAGGCTAGGATCATTGAACCCTCTCACGACGCGAGTTGAGATTTGCAACTAACGTAGTTTCTGACTTCCGTTAAACGTATACAGTCATATTAGTGCCCGATATAACACAACTATCATTAGGTAGTTACAGACGCTGGATTCTGACTCGACGCCGAACTTAACCGGATTCCCCGTTGCAGCTCTGAACCACTCGAACTCGTCATGCTCTTCGGCGTCGAACGCGTCGACCGGCGCTGGTCTGTGCGCGACCGCCGTGGAGCCGGCGCCGCCTCTCTACATCGCCGCACCGCCGGAGGGCTTCGGCCTCGCCGTGCACAACAACAGGTGGGTCTGCAGGCGACTTTAAGTGACCTGACGTTTGGTTCGGCAAGTGACTGCTTAGGTGAGCGCTTTAAGCGGCTGGTTTACAACGTACAGCAGTTCATAGTATTGTATGAATGGTTTATGGTCAATACTCATGGTAGACCGTTGTGAAGCAGAAGTAATGACGCTTTCGAGTGAGGTAACCGGGACTCATCTTATGAAAGCAAAACGCAATTGCAAACCAACACACCCAACTTTGGGTGAGCAGCTAGTTTGTTCCACTTTTAAAAAGGACGCAAACGAAGAATACATTACAATACATTTTGGAGGTTCTCTAGATTGTTCTAGCGACTTCGACGTTCATAAGTCCTTGAAACAAACCTAGGTTTAGGACACTTTGAATTTTAGTTACTTGAACAATGACAACTAAGTAGTGCAGTTTGCTCCAGTAACTCTCTCCTTTTGTTGATAGCATTCAATAAGATTGGATTCTTCTCCATAGGAATCCAAGGAAAAGAGGAAGTGACAGTATTTAAGCAGTGATTCGAGCTGACCGCATTACGGTACACAGTTGTAGAAACAATGCATTGAGTAAAAAACAGCTAGCGCATATACGAGAAAAGAGAATATGAGATTTACCTTAGTTTTTACAGTATCAGTTGCGGGAGATCCGGATCTTTTACTTCATAGTATGTGTATTCAATTTCGTGAGCACTGTGGTGGCGCGGTGTCGTTTTCGGCGCATACGTGACCCTAAAACTCTAGGGTTGAGCACACATATCTGTTTTCTTAACTTTAAATAGCTGACCTGGCCTGAATTACCAAGGGTATTTCTTTGCACTGTCACTTTTAGTTATCAAAATGCACTCGCATATGTGTAAGTATGTATGCATACAGTTTAATAGAAAGTTAGGGCTGTCGTTAGAATAGGTGTGTTCTTAATAGATATTTCCGATTGATGTCTTGTGTTCAAATTTAACCAAGAGTGTATTATAACTGGGAATGGTGAAGGAAAGGAAAAAAAGTTTCTAGGTCTTACTTTATGGATGCATGAAAATTTACTATATATGGGATGAAAGATCAAATTCGGATTTTATGTGTTGGATTTATATGTGTATCTAATCTGGTTCCTTCCATAGGCGTGGCACAGACGTTGGGATCATTGGAACAACGGGATTAACCCCAAAAGATCCAACTTTGCCCCCAAAACGGGGCAAATTGACTAGAGGGTACGTGCCCCACCTCAGGAATGCTTTTACTGTGACCTGCCTTAGAAAACTTACTTCCTGCGCAAATTCGATCTAACATTCAACTCAAATTTGATATAGCAAGCGAGCTTTTTTAACGTTTCACTAATTTCTAAAAGAGCGTTTAGATTTATGAAATGCAATGTTAAGGCATGATCTATTAATAATAATAATTCTACAATGACAATTAATTTCTGATTTACCTTTTCAATTTAAATTAACTTCTTTATAAATTTCAATGCTTTATTTATTTAAATATTGAATTTGTAATATTTATTTTTCACATGGATGAAGAAACTAAGTAATACTGACCGACAGTTTATTTGTAGTATATTTTTGTTTAAATATTTAATATAAAAAATGTTACGTGTTTAACAAATCTATTATAAATGGGTTTTTTAATATTATTATTATATATTTCATTTGTCTGTCTAAATAAGTATTAAAATATAGGTATAATATATATATATATATATATATATATATATTCGTTATGGTAAAACTTTGTCTGTTTTTTCTAAAAATCTTTTAACAATCACTGTAGATTTCATTCGTTTAAAGTTTATTGAATAACTTCAGCATGACAAAATCAAATATTCCGAGTAGTCTCTCGTTAGCCTTTCTCTCCTAAAAATATTTTTCGAAAGAAAAGAAGCACTCATTAGTTAATAAATACATCAGTCTATTCAATAATCTGTCTTTTCAATTCGTTCTTTTACGAAATTAGAACATTTCATATAATCATAACCATTTAGTTTCTTTCCAGTCAAAGATTTCTGTACGTATTTAATCCTTCACTGCGCATACAGTTTCTTCCTCACGTAGTAAAGTACCGTGCAAAAATCCCCATCAAATCTCGTCTCGGAAGCCCTAGCAATCCCCTTCTCACACTAGACCTGGTCGCAATAAATGACACAAGGTCCCCTATCCTTACAGCCGCTATGAGATGTCACAGGACCTCCTCGACAAACAAGTAGAGATCCTCGAGAGGAGATACGGGGGGCTGAGGGCCCGGCGCGCCGCCGTGACCATCCAGCGCGCGTTCAGGAGGAGACAGCTGCTGAAGAAGTTTAGCGCCATCACTGCGATGGCCAAAGCCGCCGACTCGACCGCCAGGAGGCTGCAAGATGGAGCCGATCACGGGCAACTCGTTAATGGTCAGTATTCTATAGCCACCAACCATACAAAAGTAATCCTTACTTATATAATATATATCCTTACTAGTCCTTACTAATTACTAATATTATAAACGCGAAAGTTTTTATGTATGGATGGATGTTTGTTACTCTTTCACGAAAATACTACTGAATGGATTTTACTGAAACTTTACGATAATATAGCTTATACATCAGAATAACACATAGGCTATAATTTATATACATATTTTTATTTATGTATATCTGTCTTTCTGTCTGAATGTTACGCCTTCAGCCCATTCCTCCTTTAGCCTACGCAGACGTAGTCGCGGGCAGCAGCTAGTAGCCTATATATGTCCCATGGGCAAAATACAAGCAATGAAGGGCGTGCTCTTTACAGCGGGTATTAGGGCATAGTCAACTGTGTTTTGGTGGACTTTATTATTTAAAGATTCGCCTGTGTGGTTCTTTTTATTTGGGAAAGTTAATTCTAGCGGAAACTTATAGATATACTCTATCTATAAGTTTCACATTGTTTAACTGGCCTGTAGGCTATCCCCAATCAAATTTAATTTAATTCGCTGCGGCGAGTAGAAAACGACAAACAAACACACTTACATATAAATAGACTATAGCAATAAATATACATAAATGTAACTAATGCCGACTTACTTAAAATAACATACTGAATATTAAGCTCTTAAAACCGCGCCGCGTAGAATAATAAGTTACTTCACGTTAATATTTAGGTTAAACGCGTAAACACAACACACGAAAAGCATAATATAAAGTATTAGTTTTACATATTATACTGTTGGTGCATAAATAAATAAATTAAAATAATAAACTCTTCTCGAAAGAAAATCTAACTTCGACCACATTTTCCAGGTAACGACATATACGCGAACACTTTGCTGCAGAAGAGTCCGGCGGGTGCGGAGAAGACGTTGGCGCTCACCAGGCCTATGCGTTCCATGTCGCTACGCGAGAGACATGATGTGGATTTGAAGTGAGTTTTGTTGAAGTTATACTTTAAAATTTGAAAAAGTTCGAAAAGATTGTCGCCGCTGTGGGAAATGAACCCACGTCCTCCGCATTCGCGGCCTGACGCTCTAGCCACTGAGCTAAACGGCTGATAGCCACAGCCACGAAAATCTTAACGTCTTTTATCTACATTGTTTTTTAGCATTTGAAGCAATGCTTGGCGCATCCATTGTTATATCCTTTCCAGCATACAAAGTTATACTTAAAAAGTACTTAAAATGTAATACTTCTTTTGCTGTTTGGAATAAATATTAGAGTGAAATTAGTACGATGCGACCGCACACCGATTGAAAAAGCGACATGATGACATTGGTTGCAAACCGACCAACTTCACTATATATCATACAACAACTAATTATTCAACCAATAACAACTTTTTGACATTTACCTATAATTCCAAGTTATGTAGTTATACCGCTAACAATTTCATATAATTTATTTTTCACAAACAAAGAGTACTGGCACAGGGGATAAGATGTTATTTTGTTACGCTTAACAACTTTAACTTCTTACATGCGTACATAGGTACATACATGTTTTTTTTTTTTTCATTAAAACTATGTATATATTTGTTGACTGCGTCTTTGCTAGGCTTTTTTCTAAGCTTTTTTGCTCTAGTTATGTGCCGATTGCTTTGTTTCCGGGTACAAGGTTTAATTTCGCAATACGCCGCAGTGAATTCGTAAATTACAAAAAGATAAAAGAAACGGAAAAACATTAAACATATAACAGCGAAACAAGTCCATTGCAAAATGTTTTTCAAACCTTGAGAGATGAGTTTTAAATATATCTGTTTGACGATATTTAAAATTGTGAGAGAATTTTTCCCTAAAATATATCGATGTTCAGCACATTTTTATCGTGAACACAAAAACGTGTTTCGATCATGAGCTATGTCTACGGAGTCAATAATATTTGCAGTGTCAATTATTTGAAATATTTGCTTCGTAATAATCAATCAATCAAATAATAAAAATGAATGAATGAATACTTTTATTGTCCACCACAAATGAAAGGAGACACAAAATTAACAATAGAAAAACAAATTTTTGGAATGCACAATTGCTAATAAAAAATCAATGCTAATGATATAAATCAATGCTCAAATATTAGTGCAAACTTAACTGGTATTTATACAAGCTGTTTATATTAATTATAAGTGTGGTGTATACTGTATGTTTCCAAAATAAATGAATATTTTATTTTATTTCGTTTTTACAGCAACCATTTACAATGCGACACCCAGAACGAAGTGGAGGCAATGGTCGCGAGGGTTCAACAGTCAGCGCACCAGATACACATGATAGCCACCGAGATGCCGCCGCATCATCGCGCCGATACCGACAGCGGGGTAAGTTGGTCCCAACAGAGGGCACCTTTGGAATTAAAGGGACCTATTAAGAAAGTCATGATTTTGACGTTGTTACGAAACGATCTAAAACAACTACCTCTTTCGACTCTACAAGGGCCGATTTTAGAAAACTACATAACGTATACTTCGATCCCTTTCGCTCCGCTCCAATTACCGCCTTCGTTCATAAGTGCACAAATCTTTATTTTCCGTTTCCGAAAAATTTACATTTTTTTAAATAGGTCACTATAAATGTGCACTATTATCATTATAAATGTGCGAAAAAAAGCTTTACAGTATACAAAAGTACTCACCTTGTTGTAACCACCGTATTTCGACACGTTCATACTTGGGTTGGCGGTGAAAAGTTGCGAATCAATATACAGTCTCCTCGGACGTTGGTTCGAAGAAGAAAGAAATGTTTTTTTTTTTTAAATATATTTCATTACGTGATAAAAAGTAAGGCACAAGAACAACGGCGTGCATCATAGTTACGAAAATTCAATCTCATTTCTCATATAGAAAATGAGATGGTCGCAATTGAGCAGGTGTGTTTGTCCACGTTAGTTTATGTTCGTAAAACGCTCTTAAAAGCAGGATAAAGTAGAAAAAAAAAGCATAAAAATAACCCAAAGATAATATTCCCGGAATTGTCTTATGTCTCATGCCCTCATAGTGTTTATGGTCGTGATTATTCTCTATTGCGGGTCGTCGCTTTAGAAAAATTGTTCGCGTAAAACCCGTTGCCATTTCGACAGTGAGGCTTTTATCGCGCGCCGTTTTTTTCAAGAAACGTCTAGCCGTGCAGTGTCACCGGAATTTGTTCTGCAAGACGACCAATCAAATATTTGCTCGCGAAATTACGCTGTAGAATCTTTCGCACATACGTAACCGCTGTATCGCTTATCAGTGGTCCGCCTGTCGCCTCCGAGCGCGGTCATTCTGTTCACCGTCGTCGTGTAGAATAAGTATTGTATAATGTAATTAGTATAATGAAACGTCATAAGACTAAGCGTTTCCTGAGGAAATTTGTGAAGAGCGAGAACTTCCTAGCTGTTGCACACGTGCTTGGCGTCGGTGCCAGGAAGAAGTACAACGTTCGTGCATTGTATTTTATTTGATGTGTTGTGACGTGAAAAGTTTTGTAGTGAAAAATGGGGCCATTCCACGTGAAGCGGACAGATATATAATGTTGATGAAACGGTCCGTAAACTGAAACCTCCAACTTTATCAAAAATCAAAATAATTTATTCATTGACATAAGAAACTTACATTTCATCTATCGATAGTCATATTTTTTTTAATCTACCACCGTTTCGTAATGAGGTTCCTCTAGCGGAGAAACAGGCGAAAGAAACTCCGTAGGTATCCTCTTTTTTTATTTCATTTTTTTTCTTAAAAAAATTAAAATATTATACAACAATTTTTTTTTCCTTCTAGGAATAGCTTGGGAGCGATCAACTCTTTCCTAGGGGTTATTGTCATTTGTGAAGTAAATATACTTATTTCCCAAAAAAAAAAATACATTTTTGTAACCGGAAATACATTTATAAAGTTCGTCAAATAGAGTATAAAATCGACTGTTATATTTATTTTAGTTTATCTTTTTAATGCTTGGTAAAATTGGATTCAAAGTAGCGCATACCTTACGGTTAGTCAAATTTTTAAAGCTATCTATGTAATCCGTAACTACATTTTATAATGTAAAAATATTTTTTATCTGTATTAGGGTCCTAATACACATACAAAATATTTTACTACAGCAAATGTTGTTGTAAATATGTGCTAATATAATAATCGTAAACACCAACATTTTTTACCCGTCGGTTTCACGTGGAATGTCCCAATAGTGTAGCTGCTGCGTTCTTGTGTTCGAATCTTGCACTAAATATTTATATTTTTTTATTTGATATTCTTGAAATAATATAAAGAGCTCACTTACTGATAGGAAAATTTGTTTTTTTACAAAGCAATCGTATTGAAAACGAGCCTAGTTTTGAATATTTAGGTACGCATATTGAAAATAAAGATAAATTTTAAAAAATCAATGCTAATTTTTTAACAAATAGTCCGGTAGATTAAGTTTGTCACAATAATTATTACAAAGTTCATTGACATTTTAACAGATAGTGTCGTAACATTAACTGGATTTCTTTCCCGTACGCCTCATTTGGATTATCTTTCGCGGATACATGTCATTTATTAGTATACGTTTATCTCTCTGGGTTTAATTATTGTAATATGTTTAATAAATTCGCACATTCAATTCACTCCTAAATTTAACTTTATTACGTGTTATTAACCTTATGACATAGTTATTTATTTTGAAACTTTTCATAAGTGGCGTTTCCATGGCATGTTACTTAACATTCTATTATTAATTGAATAGATGTTTGTAATAACGTAAATTGGATTTAATTAATTTTATTAGTAATGAAAGAGGAGGGTGTAATTTGTTACCGTGGTAACGTTAAAACGGAAGATAATTTAATACGGACAGAATATATTGATACTCCAATACTATAAAGCCTTAATGTATTTATTAGCTTCACAATTTTGATAAAGTTCAGACTATTTTTTAAAAGGCGAATAGAATTTGTCAGATCTAATGGTAATTTTGAAAAGTTATGTAATTAAATTTTTATTTTTGTTACACGAAAGTTTTGCTCTAGGTATTCTTAGAATTGCAATCGATTTGCAAATCGTACTCTATGTTGCGTACGCCAATTACTTTTCTGTTTGTAATATTGTGTCTTGCGTATAGATAGGCTTCTGAGGTATGCTCGTTACAAAGCTGTTAATTTATGTTGTTTCGTTTAATTTTACCTTAATTAGCCGCAATTAGGAATCTATCACAGACAGGTATTATAACTGTGCGGTCAGGGAATGGTTTGTTTAGTATCAATTAGATTTATTAATTGATCTTCTAATCACTCTTGTATATAGGAGTCACATATTTGTATATTTGTAAGTATGTCTTATATCCAACTAACTTACATAAGTACTTTATGTGCATTCGTTTCTCCTATTATTTATAATTTTATTTCTTCACCTACTTAAATTCTCCGGGTCGCCCGTTAGGTTGACTGGCAGAAAATGCCTTTGGCATTAAGTCCACCTTTGTACAATTGTTTTTGTGGATTAAGTTTTAAATAAATTAATTAAATTTATCTCAACCCTTTCAGGTGTGCAGCTGTTCTGTCAGCGGCTCCGTGACAAATATATCGACGTCTTCCTCGCACAATGACTCGCTGCACAATCACCAACTGCTGAACAACTCCGGTGAGTTTCTTTAACTCCATTTTCGACCGACTTCAAAAAAGAGGGGGGTACTCAATGGGTATCGCTCGGACCTGTCTTCTTTCTTGAACTGATTTTAAATAATATTTTTGCATCGGGTACGGTTTACGTCCCATGTGGTTCCACATAATAATAATATTGCATTATTAGATACTAGCTCTTGCCCGCCACTACGTCCGCGTGGAATAGGATGAAAGCGAAAAATTCAGACAGATACAGACAGATATCTATACATATAAAAATGTAACTTGTCTTTGTCTGTACATGGAAGATATTTGAGAAACACTATCCAGCCAAATGCGAGTCGCAGTCGTGAACGAATCGTTCCATACCATAATCTATAAAAAAGGCAATAAAATGATGTCCGTTATATGAGAGCCCCACTTAAAAAAAATCTGATTTCCTTTATTTGTTGTTATAGCGTCAACAGAAATACATCATCTGTAAAGATTTCAACTGTCTAAATATCACAGTTTATGAGATACATGTATCAAACAGTTGCTAGCAGTCTAGTTAGCATCTGTCTTTTTGTTTGAACTCGCTAATCTCAGCTACTACTATTAGAAAAATTCTTGCACTGTTAGATAGCCAATTTATTGAGGAAGGCTACTTTTTAAAAAAGCACGACATAAAATGTGGTACATACGGGCCGAACGCGGATGAGAATGAGAATCGAACCCACGCCGAAGGCAATGCCTTGACAACTGCGCAATGGTCAGTGATCTAGCGAGTGGTATTCGCGAATTAACCTATAACTGACTCCAATGTGCGAGATAATGAATGGTGTCTATGGCGAAATGGGTATCAGCACTAAGTCGTGTTTGGTTTTCATTAGATTGTTAAGATCAAATCGTTCTCATTCTTTTAAATTCTATCGAGGAATTTTTGTAATTAATACTAAAAGGTAAATTCAATGATTTAGAAAATACTACAAAATAAGTATTTTAATTACAAAAAAAAATATCAGAAACAATTTGTGTTTCAATGATAAATAACAAACATGATTTCCAAACGACAAAGCAAAATAATATCCGAATATCCTAGCCTAACCAAATCTATATTCCTAAACAGTGACAGATTTGTCCGTTGGTCGCCCTAGGCTCATTAAAGATTAATGCCCAGTTTCCGAAAGGCCAATCAAAGCAGTAATCACATAACACAACGTCAAAAATGATCGGTTGTTAATCTCCTGTTAAACTGCCTTGGGTTTCTGGAAGGTTTGTTCAAGACAATTAGCTAATCACTGTATAACCAATGATAATGAATGAAATGAATGATTTACTTCAACTAACTCTTTCTATTGTATAGCTGTCCCTTTTTAAACAAAACTTAAATTAACGTCACTATCCAGTCCTGTCACCGTGTGATTGCTAACGTAAAAATCCGAGCTATAATAAAATTTAATTTATATAAATACATGCAAAATGTCAAAAAAAAACTTTATAGAACGTGAAAAAAATGAACTTTTATCCATAATAAACAAGTAAGTATTATAAAAAGAAAGAACCCATATTATTTGTTAACTTTTGAATTTTTTCTAATCACATGATATGTTCGCATAATAATAAATAATAAATAGGTAATAGAACACATGAATGTCCTAACAACGTATTAGGGAATTATGTTTATTTTTAATAAAAACTAAGATTTTTGTTAAATAACATTTTTAACCAACGATTGATCGTCCAAATTGACAGATTACTTAATAAAACTTTTGACAGCTCGTTGACCACCGAAAAACGCTTTCAGAACCTCGATTTTCTGTTGATTGTTCGTTAATCAGTGACTAATTGCAAATCAAAATCAATGTTGTTTAAGACGTTCTAGCTCAACTCAGATCATGTTAAACAACGATTGACAAGAGATTTATCGTAAATTAAAATTGATTGCGCTTTCGGAAACTGGGTGTAAGAGAAAAGACTTGCTGGAAGGCACAAAAAATTAAATAAAGAAGGTTAGTACATTACATTATGGAGCCGACGAATGGTACCTACTTATCAGGCCCGCTTGATTTGTTATAACTTTTATGGAATATCGCCTACGTAAAGAAGCGAAAGGCGAAAGGCAAGCAACGTTACTAAAAGGCTCCACTAATTTGCAGTCCCCTAGATTTGGCCCGCCGAGTACGCGGCCTATAGAGAAATCCACTACTGTTCCCAACCAGTAACCAAATTGTTGGCGCTGGCAACACTGTATACCGGACATGACGTTATCTACTCGAGCGAAGGGACACAGGGTCGCATAGAGCAGCGGTCACTTGGATTTCGGCTGCGTTCTCGGACGGTGATACAGCCAAAAGTGCTGCTTGTCGTTATAATAGTTGTTAATTTTCAAATTCAGTAAAAGTTAAAATATATTAACCAAGGTAAAAAAGTTAGAACTCTTATAAAATCGCAAACCAAAATCAAGAATATCCCGAGCAAACTAAAATCGTACCTATCGTATAAATCTCAATTGAAGAAATTCGCATTATTATTATTAAAATGCAAATGGTCGGCACTTATCCCTTAATTAACGATTGATTGAGATGAAACAAAGCCTAGGTACTGCCCCAAGCTTTACTTAAGTAACCAGTGAAAACTGCATCAAAATCCGATAAGTAGTTTTCAAGTTTATCTCTAACAGACAGACAGACAAAAATTCCAAAAATGGTTTTTATGTTTCCTATAACACTTTTTATGATACCCTTTTTCATTTTTTCATAAATATATTCAATGTACAGACACGCTGATTCTACTCTTTTATTAAAGTATAGATACACATCAGGGAACTAACTACTCAAAATCAAATAGAAGATGTACAGTGAACGAGATTTTTAAAGTCGTTTTTGTTAATAAAAACGTAATTAAATGCGAATATAAAATTCACTATTATTATTATTTTTTTTATGTGAAAAGTTGCCAAACGAGCAGACGGTTCACCTGATGGTAAGTGAATACCGCCACCCATGGACATCTGCTACACCCGAGGGTTACAGATGTGTTGACAACCTTTTGAAAATTGGGCTGCGGCTACCCCCCCCCCCCCCCCCACTCACCAGACGAAACGCGAAAGTATTTGTCATACTTCCACTTTACGCTGGTCTTCTGTGAGTTCTTGGTACTTACCCGGACGGGCCTGCCCATTCGTGCAACAGCCGAGGCTGCTGCGTGGCCCTAGCACCGTAAAATTATTTATTAGGATATTAATATTATTATTTAGGATATTAATAAATTGAGGATGTACTTGACGATCTATAATTTGACTCGTACTCGTGTAAAGCTATAATAATATTGTTATCGCTTCACACGAGTGTCTATAACTATGCAGCATGCAACAGAATGGGATATTTATCGTTTGAGTACATGATCTTGATCGATTCACACGAGTGTGTATAACTATGCAGTACACAATAGTGCACGATCTTGACCGTTTCTTCCCCAGGCCCGATATACGGCAACCTGCTGTCGTCCGGCGGCAAACCGCTGTCATCGCCCACCGCCCGTCAGCAGCAACAGCTGGCCGCGATACAAGCGGCCAACGCCCGTCGCCACCCGCCCGAGGTGCCCAAGAGGACCAGTAGCATCACTCTGAAGTACGTAACACCTTCCGTAATCTATGATTAAGATACAAATGAACGCTTAACCTAAGCATTGGCCGCAATCACCGCCGCACCAGTAAGTGCTACTCTAGCTGATGCTATTGATCTCGTTGCTACCTAGCCTGGATGAAACTGCGTGGAGTCGCCAAGGTATTGTGTAATCTTCGTCTCGTGTGGGAATCGAACCCACACGAGACGAAGATTGCACGGTTAGATAATAAACATAGATATCCGCCATTACTGTGCGATAATTATACTGCGTTTTAAGGACGTTTAAGATACATAAATTTCACGTAGACAAACACCTAGATTCTGACCTGAATTATCTTTGGGTCACACAAATAGCTAAGCGAAGCCAACGCCGAAGCCAATGCGGAGTCATCAAACTTACTCAACGTTGACGTCATCGTTCACAGTGCCGAGAGCCCAGTGTCTCTCCGCAGGGCGGAATGCGGCGCTGTTGTTCGTGGCGGCTCCATGTCCTCGGTGCAGTCATCGTCGTCCTCCTCCTCCCAGGAGCACCGCCACCACTACCACCAGCCGTACCAGCCTAGAGCGCCGGTGAGTAATTTTCTGCGAATCCGACCCTGGGCTCGATATCCCTATCTTAAAGACAGCTTGGTACCCCATCTTTGTTGGATGGAGAATTTTTGAGAAGAAGAAAAAAGATCAAAATCCACTTTCATCACTAGATGAATGAAATGTGACAACTTCATATGATACTTTGGTTGTGACAAATTTATGGAATTCTAATAACAGCTGTTTCTATTCGGTTCTGAGGCTATAGATTTTGTCTTCTTTTTTCATTAGGCTGTCTATCGTAAAATATATTTGCCTGCCTTACCTACGAAATTTTAACTTTATAAAGAAAATGATTAACAATTTTAATCTCCGAAAGGAATGATAACTAGTTTTAGTAACTTTCTGGTAATTATCGTTAGTGACGAGGAAAAAAAATCAAAACTCGTCTTGATTCTATATCGGGCGCGTACTGCCCAGGAGCCGCACGTGCACATCCAGGAGCAGCACTTCCAGCAGCACCAGCGAACAGCTTCGGGCTCCATATACGAGGGTGGGGACCGCTTCGCGGTGTGGAAACGGCAGGAGGCGCCGCCCTACTACGAGGCGCCGCCACCGCCGGGCCCCTGCTGCCGCCCCCAGCACGAGCACCACCCGCACACGCATCAGCCGATGAAGGTCACCGCGGTAAGTCGGCAAGCCCTTTAATTTCTTTACTAAATCCGATGAGACTTTCGATGAAGGCCTCCTCGGTAAGTGGACAAGGTCTTTAGTTTCTATACTGGCTCCGAGGAGACTAGATGAAGACTAACGCTGGAAGTAGGCAAGGCCTTTACTTTCTGTACTAAATACGATGTGACTTTCGTTGAAGATCACCTCGGTAAGTGGGCAAGATCTTTAGTTTCTAGCCAGTAGGCTCCAAGGACACTTTCGTGGAAGGCTAACGCGGTAAGTGGACAAGGCCCTTAATTTCTATACTAACTCCGAGGAGACTCGAAGAAGGTCAACGCGGTAAGTGAGCAAGGCCTTTAATTTCTATACTATACATTATAGAAAATTAGCGTTGGTTCATAATCCCAGGGTCCTATGTCATCATATAACAACAAGCTATTACTTCAGTAAAGGTCATGCATATGCCTGGAATATGAAGGTCTCACCATCCACACGGTATTTGCTATAAATAATCGCAAGATCAAAAAGCTCGGCGACTGTTGGATGTCATGGGCTGCGTCTGCCCGTTTCTAATTTGATGCACTCCAGTGAAATACACCAAAACTTTCAGGTTTCGGAGACGGTGCGCAAACGCCAGTACCGCGTGGGGCTGAATCTCTTCAACAAGAAGCCGGAGCGTGGTATAGCGTACCTCATCTCGCGCGGCTTCCTTGAGAACTCGCCACGCGGCGTGGCCAGGTTCCTCATCACGAGGAAGGGGCTCAGCAAGCAGATGATCGGAGAGTACCTCGGCAACCTGCAGAACCCCTTCAACATGGCCGTGCTCGAGTGAGTGTAACTAATAACCGACTATCTCATGACTTTTCTTTCATCTTTTTTTATGTAATTAAATAATTTTGTGAAAAACAATCATCAATCAAAATTTATCAGTATTTAGAATAATAATAAATATTCCCAAACTAAGCAAAATTTGATAGACATATTTAATTACCTTATTACCTTTTTGCCAAAATGAAATTTATATATTTTTGTGTATTATAGGTTAATTTTATATATTTTTTTTGTTTGTTCATATTTTTTCTGTATATTTTTCTTTGCTTTTTTTTGGTTATGGCAAATAAAGAATTATTATTATTATTATTCATTTGTTTTCACGTCTGGTTGGGTTTATAAATAAAAATAAAAATAAAGATATAGATATATATCTATATCTTTATCCGTGTAACAACGACCTCACAGAAGACCGGCGTGAAGTGGAAGTAAAATACTTTCGCGTTTCGTCTGTGAGTGAGGTAGCCGGAGCCCAATTTACAAAGAGGTTAAAAAAAACAGACACTGGAAAAACACTATGCTCATCATACAATATTCCTCAAGAAGTGTATGTAGATCGAACCCACACACTGGCGCGCTTCACTGCTCCCCACGCCAATCGAGTCATGATGAAGGTGTACCTTGGTTAATAAAATACGCCGCGGGCCGTCATGCAAGTGCGCCTCGGAAAATGGAATCAAGCGGTCTCCGTTCGAACCGCAGGTGCTTCGTGAACGAGCTGGACCTGTCCGGGATGGCGGTGGACGTGGCGCTGCGCCGCTACCAGGGCCACTTCCGGCTGCCCGGCGAGGCGCAGAAGATCGAGCGGCTCGTCGAGGCGTTCGCGAGGCGCTACTGCGTCTGCAACACGGACTTCGTGCAGCGGCTGCGCACGCAGGACACGGTGAGCCGCGCTTTCCGTTTGGGTGGTGTTTGGAGCGCCCGCTAGATTTTAAACAGCGTCTTGTGGTTAATAATTTAACCGCTAGTAATTTAACCGAAAAACGGACGAGTTTTCTCAATTCGTCCGTATAAATATATATATATATATATATATATATATATATATATATATATATATATATATTTTTTTATACGTGTTCGGGGATAACTTCGTCATTTATAAACCGATTTTGATGATTCTTTTTTTTGGTGGTAAGAAGATATCCCTGGGTGGTACAATGATAAGGAAACCCAGATCTGATGATGGCATCCCAGAGAAATCGAGGGCAATCCTCTAATGTTATAGGTGTTGACAATGTTTTTTGTTTCTGTTTGAAGTTGGTTTTTTTTTTGTTCAAAATTATTTTTATGTATGTTCGGGCATAACTTCGTTTCATAGACGGATTTGTAAAATTCATTTTTGTTTGAAAGGGCTTCATTCCGAAATGGTCCCATATAAATTTTAAATAGACCTAATGATGATTTTCGGAGATAGAAACGAAAGTCTTCGAAAAATGACAGGAAATCAACCGCGATTGCTGCTATCGCAAAAATATTTTGCATGTAACGTTGAAATAGTTACGTACATCATTTTATTTGAAGTCGGTTCTTTTTTTTAAAAACTAATACTTAATTTCACTTTGCATTAAACCATTTGTCGAGCAGGAGCCGTGTTTATTTTTCTCTATATCGAATATTAAATCCCAAAATCTGTATCAAGGAGCCGTGGCTTCGGTGTCTCGCGCAGGTGGGACAGGGCAGGAACTCATTGGCCTATTTTTCAGGGTGGACCTGGGCCCTTACTACAAAAAAAAAATCGAACACTGTAGAACTGTTAAACAACGCAACGAATTTTTAATGCGATTTTCACCAATAGATATTATTCAAGTGGAAGCTTTACATGTAGTACCTATGCATATTATAGTAGAGAAAATTCGAGAAATTCAATATCTACATTGCACCTCGCTCGCCTCGCTCGGCTTCAATCTGCTTTTGTCGATGAAGGCAGCCTAGAATTTCGAATCGGTAACCCAAAATCCTGGGGTGGGCACGGCCCACCCGGCCCCCCCGCTATATACGCCTATAGAGGAACTGCCCTTATCCCATAGGGCCGTCACTACATGTGAATCATATTGTAAATGGTATTGGCCTGACTTTGCCCATGAGTACAACTCATATCCGGAACAATTATCTGTGGATCAAGCAAATACTAATCCTGTGGGGAAATCGACCTCTGGCACAGATCGTAATGCCGTTAGTTACAACTGCGTCAACGAGAGATCAAAAGCTATTACTTTTGTCAATACTGATCATGTCAAAAGTGCGCCGTCAAGTTGGTTGTGGTAGTCCGAAGAAATACTTTGTAGTCATTCCTTATAAAAATCCCATACGTTTTTTATAATGTTATTCCATTTCTATGGACTCTATAGAACGCACGAACATAATGATGGACCATTTATATTTGTCCATTACACAACATTGTAACCTGGCGCTTCTAAACAGGACCTACAGTCGAACTTGATACGGTTCGATTTCGCCCCGCAGATCTTCGTGCTGGCGTTCGCCATAATCATGCTGAACACCGACTTGCACACGTGCGCTTCTAAACTGTACTTTCACCCGAACTAAATAGGGTTCGATTTCGCCTCACAAATCTTCGTGCTGGCGTTCGCCATAATCATGCTGAACACGGACCTGCACACGTGCGCTTCTAAACAGGACCTACTGCCTATCTTAATACGGTTCAATTTCGCCCCGTAGATCTTCGTGCTCGCGTTCGCCATAATAATGCTGAACACGGACCTGCACACGCCGAACCTGAAGCCCGAGGCGCGGATGTCGCTGGACGACTTCGTGCGCAATTTGCGCGGCATCGACGACTGCGGCGACATCGACCGCGACATGCTCGCCGGCATCTACGAGCGCGTCAAGGCCAGCGAGTTCAGGCCGGGCAGCGACCATGTCACGCAGGTAATACGGTCTATTTCGCCGTGGCGAGGGTTTTCGTTTATATGGACGAGGGCAGGAGTTTGCTAGAGTTCCTTTGCCGGCCGGCAGCGACCGTGTCATGTAGGTAATACGGTCTATTTCGCCTTGGCGAGGATTCTCGTTTATTTGGACGAGGGCAGGAGTTTGCTACAGTTCCTTTGCCGGCCGGCAGCGACCGTGTCACGCAGGTAATACGGTCTATTTCGCCTTGGCGAGGATTCTCGTTTATTTGGACGAGGGCAGGAGTTTGCTAGAGTTCCTTTGCCGGCCGGCAGCGACCGTGTCACGCATGTAATACAGTCTATTTTGCCCTGGCGAGGACTCTCGTTTATGTGGACGAGGGCAAGAGTTTGCTAGAGTTCGTTTGCCGGCCGGCAGCGACCGTGTCACGTAGGTAATACGGTCGATTTTCGCCTTGGCGCGTTAGTGGCTGTATGTTAATATTGTTCGTCCCAGGTGATGAAAGTGCAAGCGACCATCGTTGGCAAGAAGCCTCACCTCGCCCTACCTCATCGACGGCTCGTATGCTACTGCCGCCTTTACGAAATACCAGACATACACAAGAAGGAGCGCCCTGGCGTGCATCAGCGTGAGGTAATGTCAATTGTCTCTTTTTTTAAGGACTTTTCTCTTAGGCACTAACATTACACCCTAAGAAAATAGATTCAAAGTAATATTCACATTGATTTGTCTCCACGCCCTATATAGAATTGTTTTGGTTTTGAATAAAATATTCAATGAAATATAGATTCATAGAAATTAAATAAAATCAATATTTTCTACCATTGTTGCTGTGTTGTTGCTGGATACTGTTGTCCGAGAACTTTAATCATTTGGTAACGTCCTTAGTTTATCAGTGGATTAATTTGAGTTCAACTTTAATAAGTAAAACAGAATGTCAAGTGGTGTGTAATTTTACCGCTCTTGATTTTTATCAACATGATCATTACAGGTGTTCCTTTTCAACGATCTACTGGTGATAACCAAGATCTTCAGCAAGAAGAAGTCCTCCGTGACGTACACCTTCAGGCAGTCGTTCCCGCTTTGCGGAATGGTCGTCAACCTGTTCTCGGTGCCGCGTGAGTAATATATATTCACTCGTCTATTTCCAAGATGCTTTAGTGGAAATTCATGATATAGAGAATTCCTTATACTTATGAAAACACATTTTGGTCGTAAAGTCATCAGTGAAATGTATAAGGGTTTTTTTAAGTATAAAGTAAAGCAAGCAATGGAATATGTATATGTATTTCCCACTACAGGACCATGAACTCCTGGGATATCAGGTTGCTTGAAAATGTTGATTTAGGCGGCTCAGCTCATGTCATAAATCAATGGTTGCATTTAGTGCATACTCTGACACACACTCATTTTCTTACACGCACCTACACACGCACAAAGTAATTTATATTACTATTATTAAACATTTACTAAAACGTTCAGTATTCATGAAAGGTACAATGTGATGTGCTAAAATAACTATTCTAGAGTTAATAATAATAAAAACTAACATCTTGTTTTATATAGCTCGTTTCTTTTACCGAAGACTACCCCAATTAATGGGGCAAATAAGTAGATAATAGAGTCATTAATAACAATAGCTAGTGTGATTCTAATGGCTCTTTTCTTTTATTGTAAACGCGAGTAACATAGTAACAAATGATAATAACAAATAGGTGGATAACTATTATCCATAAGCCAGCAATAGCCAGTAAAAGCAGAGCCATTAATAACAATAGCTTGTGTAATTCTAATTTCGTTCCTTTTACTGTAAACGCGAGTACCGCTCATAGCAAATAGCTGGATAATAGACTCGACTTACTGTAGACGCGAGTACTGATAATAGCAAATAAGTAGACTATTGAGTCACTAATAACAACAGTCGCTAATAACCTTTGACCGCAGCCGCCAATAACATTAGTTTGGTCGACTCTAACGGCTCGCTCCCTCGGCCGCAGACTACCCGTTCGGCATTCGGCTGTCGCGGCGCGTGGACGGCCGCCGGCTGGCGACGTTCAACGCGCGGAACGAGCACGACCGGTGCAAGTTCGCCGAGGACCTGCGCGAGAGCGTCGCCGAGATGGACGAGATGGAGGCGATGCGCATCGAGGGCGAGCTGAACCGCGGCAAGGGGCGCGGCGGGGGCGGCGGCGCGAGGAACGGTCCGTAACAGCAACACAAACATTTGCAAACATTGGTCCGGCTCGAAGGACCAATGTTTGAATATCAATTTTCGATTAAATGAGGATTCTTAAAAATCTTCAATATGAATGAACTGTCGTTGGTTCGTAACTATTTTTGGGAAGGCCGGTGTACGTGCGTCTGCGACGGTGGTAGTGAGCGAGTGTCGCGTTAGTGGGGGGCAGGTAAGCAGCCAATGGCAATGCCGGACCGCGATGACGAGGAGTACGTCGACGTGACGTCAGGAACCCACCCCCCACCCTCCCCCTTCCCGCCCTAGCTGCATTGGCCAGTTATTGGCCAGATCCCGCAGACGTTGATGTATTGAAGCGTACACTAATACAAATAAAATAAAATTGTTTGTTAACTCGCTTAAGCGAATATAAACCCTGTTGTTACACAGCTGAAGTCGTATTCCCTTTGTTCCTATTTGCAGTAATGGAGAATCGCGATAGTGGTGTGGCGGACGTCGAGATCGATCACCAGCAGTGCATGGACCATGTGCATGTGCACGGGTAAGGGATAACAAATTTATTTTGTTATGACTTCAACAAGTTAAATACTGGCTACAAGAGAGCTGGTTTTTCTCTCGCATCAAATGCAGCTAGCCTTCTAGCACCGTACCATGGGTAGGTTTGTTGGCTTATTTATTTTATTACTCTATACAAGTTATACTTGGTAAAGCGTCTGGGCAGAAGAGACAGTTTCGAATCCCGCATCGCCGAGTGTTCGTTTATCTACAAAAATTTACAATTTAGGATACTATACAAGTTATATGATAGAACCTTATATTTCAAATTGGTCACGTGCATGGCGACATGCGAGTTCTTGTTTTTTCGATTGTTTTTCAACACCTTTCTCACGTTCTTGTTAGATCTTATACAACAGATTAAGGAGTCCAGTTCATTTTTAGCAGAGTAGATGTTTATCTACTCTGGTAAAAATGAACTGGACTAGATTATATTAAGGGTGTTAAACGTCAGAGATGCTATTTATATTAATTTTGAGTTTAGACGGTATGTTATTGTTTACGCAGAGATTTCCTACTTTATTAAAGGGTGGCAACACATAATCAACCCTAAGGGTGTTGCAAATGTTAGAGGGCGGCGGTTATCAATTAACATTAGCCACCTTCTCACATAAAAAAAAGATTGCATCTGAAATCCTTACAGACCTTAGTATATCAGTCTGTTTTTTTTATATTTGAAACCTCCTAACTCTTTCCACAGAGTGGCGGTGCCACCCCCACCGGCTGGACCAGCGCCGGCGGCACCGTCGCGCCTCTCCCAAAACCCACCACCGACCAACATCATTAAGAGGAACGTGCTCAGCAACTCTCTGGTCGACATCAACGATCCCGGTATGATATAAAGCGCAACAAAGCCAAGTCAGCCTGTTCATGTATTACGTCCCACCGCCCAAGAGCCTGAAGTGTAGAAGTTCATGTACTCTACGTAGAGAGTAACTTTGTATTCAAAATCAAACATGCGATTGGATCGTTATTGAACTACTATTGAAATAATCATAGATTTGCTCGATATTCCTTTCAATCGTTTGTCTTTAAATTTGTAAATATAAGTTTATGAAAATTTTAATTTGTAAAAAGCAATGGCGACATCTCTCGTTCGAATTATCGTTGGAAAACGATATTCGAAATTGTTTGTATGCTGGGAAGGATATAACAATGGTTGCGCCAAGCATTGCTTCAAATGCTAAAAAACAATGTAGATAAAGGACGTTAAGATTTTCGTCGGTGTGGCAATCAGCCGTTTAGCTCAGTGGCTAGAGCGTCAGGACGCGAATCCCGAAGACGTGTGTTCAATTCCCTCAGCGGCCAGAAACTTTTCGTTCCTTTTTTCTACATAAAAATTAATTTTAAGTCGTTTGTCTTTTTAAATTTACAACCTCATTAAGCAAGGACTTTTGGTTAAATCACGATTAACTCTTTTTACTATTTTATTTATTTTATTATTACTACGTATTGATGTTATACAGGATGGGTACATTAACAAACATCTTTAAACTCAACCTTGGTTCGCAGTGGCGCTGGCAGCTGAGAGACTGCAGCGGCGTGGCTCCGTCGGCTCCCTGGACAGCGGAATGTCCGTCTCCTTCCAGCAGGGCAGCCGGAACGCGCTGCACGCCACATCGCCGAGGCATCCGAACGAGCAGCGATCACCGGGTGAGCAGAAATGGACCCTATCACGTATAGCGCACGGCCCAAAATCGCGTGTACAACGGGTCTAAAGAGTTAACTGTAGTATTTGTAGTAGGCCCTACAATAGTTTCGACGCACATAGCTATACTTTTAGTTTTTGATAGACAAGCCAAATAGTATCTTTATGAATAATAAGTTACCTTTTTACATTTTCTTTTAAATTGTACCCTCAATATGTTTAATTAGGGACGGCCTTTCCCTACTAGCGCAGTTAAAATTTTATAAAGAAAATGTACGTTTATTTTCAATGTGAATGAGGTAAAGATTTTAATTATTTTTTGCAGGCCGCCTCTTCGGCGGCATCTTCCCCAGTCGCCAGCGAAAGCTGAGCGCGTCCGGAGTCCTGGACACGAAGGGGCAGGTCGGGAAGAGCACCGAAGTCTGAGTCACCTGAAATGAACCACCACGGAACGTTCCAGAATCGCAACGGTTCGGGTTCGATTCCGGCTTCCATCGAACAGCGCTAGAGGGCGCGTCGATCATTCATTAGTGCCATCTTTAACGTTTACATTCTACTTAAACAGCGTGGTTGCACCGTGGTGTGACTCATTTTGGGAAATCTTGAGTCTGGTTGTTTCAGTAACAGGATTGATGGGACACAATGGCATAGGTGCGGACTGTACACGAATTCAATATCTTATATTGCGGTATGTTCAACTTGAAAGTGTTACAACGATTCAAATATCGAGAAGCCGTTAATCGATGTTGAAATAACGAAAACTATTGACAGAAATTGATTGATAAAAAGCGTAAGGGGTATTATGTGGTAGTTTCGGAAACGTTTGGGTCCATGTTTTTGGAGAAGCAATTTAGGGTTCTATAGTGCGGTACAGAAGGTTCAATTTAGTATACGCCGTTTCTCGTATGTAGATCCGTATTAATTTTGTAGGGGATTGTCACGAATCCTTCAAAGGGTTGGGATAAATAGCATTCAGAGCAGTCCTTGATAAACAATCTTATACAGCAATGCGTTACCAGAAGCCAAGAAGTATTAATTATTTACTTTGCTATAATGTGCATTTAAATGTTTTGGTCTTTCTTTAGAATAATTGTACATACGTTCGGAATTAGATTACGCAATAGCAGAAAGTAGAGTCACGATATTTTCCAAGTTCTTTTCAGCACAAATACGCGTTACATTGAGAAAAATATTACTAATGAATATTATTATATCTATATTGGAAATACGAATTTATTCATATATTGTTGAGGAATTTATTAGTGTTGTAGGCGGTTTAAAAAAAAGTTACATAGTCTAGTTCACGAAACAGTTCTAGTGAAGTTTTTGAAAAAAATTATCCCTTATAGAAGTACTAAATTGTTAAATTTCATCCTCCATTGTGACTCACATTCTATACCGTACCTACCTATGATATTTAAAAATTAATTACGGAATCATCACAGTAATCGGAATAAAATTATCTAAATATTATTGTACTGTTGAAATACTCCTCAAAAATCTCGTATCAAAACTACGTTTCATCCATCCCTCGTTATATACATACAAAACGTCATGTACTTTTATTGAAACTCTTATTTTACACTACGGTTATAAAGTTAAAAAATTAATATACATGTTTATATCTTGCCACTGAAATTTTTGTATGATTAGCTTTTCTATGCAAGCGTTGATTTTGAACTATCATCTTTTTATATCTTATACGGGAATGTATATACATTTCGTTGATACCTAAACGTTACCGTTCTGGCTCACTGAAATTACCATATTTTATAACTGAGTAGATTTAAGTAACTTATAAAACAAATCGGCTTCGAGGTGCTGAATTCACGAGACGCAAGACTTCAGCCAGTCACGTCAGAAAGAGACGGAAAATACCTTAGGCTGGTTACCTGTTCAATTTAATGTTGACTTTGCCACTGTTGACTTTGTACCGGTTATGTAGATTTGTTATTTCTACTATTTGATACGTGGGTAGTTAGAAAAAAAGATAATTCTCGCATTAAATTATTCCTTCGTATCTTAATCGGTCTCGTACCGAGCCAAACTCTAAAAACTTTCGATTGATTCACCTCTCTGTGTCCATTTCCATTGAAATATATATACATATAATATACTCTATAAGTGGGTTTCCTCCCCACCTTTCTCACTCGAATGGTGCAATTTGTGGGAGCTCTAGTAAATTTATCCTAATTGGGGCTCGTTTTGAGTTCTTGAATCCAGAAAAACTTGTCCTTTTATTGCAGCCCTATCGTACGATGATGAGGAATAACAAAATTGTCGTCTAAGCATTCTGTCCAGTAAAAATTATTATACCCATTGAATCTCTATATTAAATTATAATTATATCGATAGATGTTCCTCGTTTGACGTCTGATTACTCTTCTACCATAGTTGTGTACAAAATTCATGTATTTTTTTATTTCATTGATTTTTTTTTTCATATTTTGCTGCAAGCGTAATGAGTTTTTGTTTTCTCAATCCTTAAATTTTTGTACAGCTTGGGGGCATTTAATTTATTTCGTATTCGTTAATGCTTATTAAATGTATCGTTAATTTAAAAAAAAAATAAAGGAATTGATTAAAACTTTCGTGAATATTGTGAGGTAAATGTGTGTGGTTTAAATAAAATTGTGTAATTTAAATAAACTTATCGTTAATCTAAAACTGTACTTCAGTGAATGTGGGGTAAGGTGTTTATGTTCTGGTTGGGACGTTTTCAGCGATATTATCGTTTAGAATATCTTTGCATATTGGAAATGAGAACTCCTTTATTTTTATTGTGACACATTCTGAATGGGTTATGTGGTGTATTCAAAACGTTCAGATAACTTGTTGTTTCTGTTCTTTTATTTTCTGTGGACCATTTGTTTTAACGTACTTTTGATTTGTAATGATCTGTGTTCGTAAATTTTCTTTATGACTGATTCAATTCGCATATACCACGGCCCTTTTGCATATACCGCAAAGCTCGTCGGAATTTGTTGGGAACATGACTTTGCTTTTGTAAATTTCGCTTAAAGCCAAAGATGTAACTTCTCTGTGTTCAAATTGTCCACTTAAAAAAATGTGATTTATCCAAATTAATTGCAATGAAATCAAACGCATTAACAACACGTGTTGTTCATTTTTTGTAATTCATCTTGCTCTTTAAGGTATGCTATGTCAAACATCTCATATTTCGAGGCGATTTTTTCGGTTAAACTTGCTAGTGAATATTATTTTAAGTAAGCGTTTGAGTTGGCGGGTTCATTTAAGTTTTCTGTAACATAAACAAAACTTACTAACTTATTATATTCTTACCATGTATGTATATTGAAGAGTTCACCTAATATATATCTCTTAGTTATTAATTGTTATATAAATCTAGTACTAAGCAATAAACGCGTACCGCGTCATCATATATATGTTGTATTATATAATAAAGTTGTTGAGAGTTGCTACAACATAGTCACCTACAATAGTTTTATTTAAATAAAAAAATACAATGGAAATGTATTTATTTATTAAATATGAATTAACATTCATATCTACATTTGTTGTTTTATTTGTATACGCTAAATACCCAATGATTCTGACACCTCAAAAATGTTTCTTTAAAATTGCATTTTTTATAATAATTTAACTCTATTGTAACCGCAATAGTCTATTTCGATTATAAACCATATGCGGTTATAAAGGTATGTACCTTTAATTGATAGAGTGTTAGGTAGTAATTACTGTAAAATTTGCCATTCATAGTCAGATTACAAATAATGATATTAATGTTAATTTAAAGAGCTAGTCTCAGAATCTAAAAAAGATTTCTTGCTATTAAGGGAACGTATAAGAAATTTATGATGTATTTTAGATGTGCCCTAAAAAAGTGGAAAAATGTTGTCTTCGGTTTGCTCCATCTTTGACTAACCATGGATAATACAATGATCATGTCAAGAAAATTTCACGGAGTTCAATAGAGATTGAGCCTATTACTTAGTTCAATTGAGATAGCTCAGTGTCCGGGCGCTCGCCTTTAATTCAATATACTCGAGCAACCTGAGTTCGATCCCCGGTGCCGGCACCAATGAAATTTTTAACTTTAAGTGCTGCCTTATCACGTGCTCCGCGGTGAAGGAAAACATCGTGAGGAAACCTGCATATTTTCGAAATAATAACAAAAAAATATATATTTCGAAGATATGTGAAGTCCGCCAATCCACAGTGGGGCCGCGTGATGGACTATGCCCTGATACCTTCTGTATAGTGGAGGCCTTTGCCCAGCAGTGGGACATGTTACTTTATTAATTTTTTAATGTTTGTTAAGTTTTTTGACATTTTTCTTCTATTAAGGAAGGTAACACATTGATTGTAGTCTTTAGTCTTCTATATTGAGGAAGATTTGACGAAGTTTCCCGAACGCTGTCCATCCGGTTTGGATTCGTGGATTGACCTTTACGGCGAAGTTGGACTTACCTAGCCGGACTAACTAACCTAGGTAAACATACTCGTCAACATCTTCGAGCACTGTCCATTTCAAGCTTATTTACCGGTTAAGGTCCCAGCCTTAACCGGTATAAGCTTGAAATTGACATTAGACATGATCTTTGTCTTGTCCATGTTCATCTTAAGGCCCGCCCGTTGAGAGACACTTGAGGTACGAGTATAATACCAAGGTCCTCCAGCGATAATAATAATAATAATAAAATATCTTTATTCACATAGACGCTTGCGCGTTCTTATGAAACGTCAAAATTTTACAAAGAAATTAACACGTTCGTAAGTTACCACCGGTTCGGAAAGCAGTTTCTGTTGAGAAGAAACCGGCAAGAAACTCAACAGTTGCTCTTTTCGATTCTGCCATGATGACTTTATCGCCAGCAAATCGAAGGTGGGTGATGTAGTCATAGGGTTCCTAACGAAGACATCCGCAGTAGGACAAAGATAAAGGACAAGCTCAGAAGATTAGTAAGCTGAAGTGGCGATGGACCGGCCATAAAGCTCGTAAATCCGATAACTGTTGGGGAAGAAAGTTTCTCGAGTACGGCTTCGTACTAGCGATCACAGTGTAGGACGACAGGCTGAAATAATGATGATTATGATGATGAAGGGAGGTAAGTAAAGAAGCCTCGGTGCAGAGTGCAGGGGAGTACGGCTTTTCTACATAAAAGTGTCGAAGAATGATCATAATTGTATGACTAAAAGGAGCGATTTTAATGATAAATTGAAACGTGTACCTCAAATTCAATCTACATTAGGATTATAATAATTTATACATTTATCGAAACGATTAATGAATGCTGTGAAATTTAATTAAAAAAAATTCAAATTGTATGCCAATTTTCATTAATAATTTATTTTCATAATAAAAATCGTCTACGTCATCCCTTCGTGTAGAGAATGCCGTGCCGTACAGTTTGACCTTGGATTCCGTAGTTATTTCGATG